ATTCTCGTGTATTTATTTATTTATTTTTGCTTTGGCAATCAGAGTTAAGTGATTTGCCCAGGGTCACACAGCTAGTAAGTTTCAAGTGTCTGAGGCTGGATTTGAACTCAGGTTCTCCTGACTCCAAGGCCAGGGCTTTGTCTCCTGTGCCACCTAGCTGCCCCTGGTATTTCTTAATTTTTCTAGCTCTGACTGATTAGGAGGCAGAATATTTTTTTTTAATTTACTTAGTATTTTTTCCCAATAATATGTGAAAACAATTTTTAACATTCGTTTGTAAAATTTTGAGTTCCAAATTCTTTCCCTTCCTCCCTCCCCACGACTCTCATTGAGAAGGCAACAATTTGATATAGGTACTACAGGTGTAGTCTTGCAAAACATTTCCATATTAGTCATGTTGTGAAAGAAAACATAGACCAAAAAAAACCCACAAGAAAAATGAAGTTAAAAAAAGTGTGCTTCAGTGTGTATTCAGACACCATCAGTTCTTTCTCTGGGAATGGAAAACATTTTTCATCGAATCCTTCAGAGTTGTCTTGGATTATTGTATTGCAAGAATAACTAAGCTGATCATCTTAAAATGTGGCTGTTACTCTGTACGCAGTACATTTCACTTTGTATCAGCTCATGTAAGTCCAGGTTTTTCTGAGATCATCCTCCTCATCATTTCTTATAGCTCAGTAGTATTCCATCATAATCACATATCACAGTTTGTTCAGCCATTTCCCAATTGATGGGCATCCTCTCAATTTCTAATTCTTTGCCCCCAGAAAAGAGCTGTCATAAATATTTTTTTATGTAGAGGTCCTTTTTTGTTTTTTGTTTTTTTAATATCTTTTGGATTACAGATCTGGTAGTATTATTGCTAGAACAAAGGATATGCATGGTTTTGTAGCCCTTTGGGCATAGTTCTGAATTGCTCTACAGAATGGTTGAATCAGTTCACAACGCCACCAACAATGCATTAATGTCTCCTTTTTTCCCCCCACATCCCCTCCACCATTTGTCATTTTCCTTTTCTGTCCTATTAGCCAATCTAATAGATGTGAGGTAGTACCTCAGAATTGTTTTGATTTGCATTTCTCCAGTCAATAGTGAGTTAAAACATTTTTTGATATGGCTATAGATAGCTTTGATTACTTCATCTCAAAACTGATAATTTCTTTTGATCATTTATCAATTGAGGAATGGCTCTCATTTTTATAAATTTGACTTGGTTTTCTATATGTTGGAGAAATAGGTCCTTTGTCAGAGAAATTTGCTTCAAAATTTTTTTCACAGTTACTATTGCTAACTGTATTTCCCTCCATCTTATTCCCCACCCCACTGTTTATTCTCTTCTCTCTCTCTCCTTTCATCCTGTCCCTCCTCAATAGTGTTTTGCTTCTGAATATCCCCTCCCCCAATCTGCACTCCCTTCTATCAACCCCCCCCACCCCTTCCTTTTTGTTTATCCCCTTCCCTTTCTACTGTCCTGTAGGGTAAGATAGATTTCTATACCTTGTTGAGTGTGTGTGTTATTCCCTCTTTGAGCCAATTCTGATGAGATGAAGGTTCACTCACTCTCCCTCACTTCCCCCCTCTTTCCCTCCACTATAAAAGCTTTTATATATGCCTCTTTTATATGAGATACCCCATTCTACCTCTTCCTTTCCCTTTCTCCCAGTACATTCCTCTCTTCCCTCTCAATTATATTTTTTAGCTACCATCCCTTCATATTCAACTCACTCCTGTGCCTTCTGTCGTCAATATATGCTCCTTCTAACTGACCTAAAAATGAGAAAGTTCTTATGAGTTACAAATGACATCTTCCCATGTTGGAATGTAAACAGTTTAGCCTTATCCCTTATGATTTGCCTTTCCTGTTTTGCCTTGTTATGCTTCTCTTGAGTCTTGTATTTGAAAGTCAGATTTTCTATTTAGCTCTGGTGTTTTCATCAGGAATGCTTGAAAGTCCTCTATTTCATTGAATATTCATTTTTTTCCCTGAAGGATTATACTCAGTTTTGCTGGGTAGGTGATTCTTAGTTGTAATCCTAGCTCCTTTGCCTTCTGGAATGTCATAGTAGAAGTCTTCTGATTCTTTAACTTGGAAACTGATAAATCTTGTGTTATCCTGACTGTGGTTCCACGATACTTGAATTGTTTCTTTCTAGCTGCTTGCAATATTTTCTTCTTGACCTGGGAGCTCTGGAATTTGGCTATAATATTCCTGGGAGTTTTCATTTTGAGATCTCTTTCAGGAGATGATGGGTGGATTCTTTCCATTTCTATTTTACCCTTTGGTTCTAGAATATCAGGGTAGTTTTCCTTGATAATTTCTTGAAAGATGATGTCTAGGCTCCTTTTTTTTTTAATCATGACTTTCAGGTAGTCCAATAATTTTAAAATTATCTCTCCTAGGTCTATTTTCCAGGCCAGTTGTTTTTCTAATGAGAATTTTCACATTGTCTTTTATTTTTTCTTGGTTTTGTTTTACTGTTTTTTGATTTCTCCTAAAGTCACTAGCTTCCATTTGCTCCATTCTAATTTTTAAGGAAGTATTTTCTTCATTGAGCTTTTGGACTATCCTTTTCCATTTGGCTGATTCTGCTTTTTTAAGGCATTCTTCTCCTCATTGACTTTTTATACCTCTTCTGCCTGCGTGTACGCCCATGCTGAACTGCATTCCTCTCCCTGCCCGGTGCAAAAGACTCTTCCTGTGACTTTCCAGATTGTCTTGGGCTGGAAATTTGTTTCACTGTCTTGTTGTGGGTTCTACTGCTCTAGAATTTGTTTAGAGCCATTTTTTTTTACAGGTATTTGGAAGGGTTTGGGGGAGCAGCTCAAGCAAGTCACTGCCATCTTGGCTCCACCTCCGTATTTACTTATCTTTATGTAAGTGTTGTTTCCTCCTAACTGAATATAGTAGGCTCCTTGAAGTTAGTTACTACTTGGCTTTTGTCTTTGTATCCCCAAAATTTAACACATGGCTGGCATATAGTAGGAGCTTAATAAATACTCTTATATTGTTCATCTCTTCAAAAACCTAGAATGCTTCCCTGCCATCTCCCAAATCAAATACAAGTTTGTTTGCCTGATTTTCAAGGATCTCGTGAACTTTGAATGAATAAAAGAACCCATGAGGCAAAGTATTTTGTTGCTCAAATTGTATAGCATAAGCCACAGTTATAGGAATTCAGAAAAGAGGGAGAACAGTATACCTGGAAGTGGTTAGAGAAAAAGGGTAGAAGTTAGTACTCAATATTGACTCTGAAACGAGTAGAATTTGGATAGTTGGATGGAGAAGAGGATGCTATTTGTGAAACAACAGCACCGAAGCAGAAATAAGAATAACATCTATGCAGTACAGTGAAGACATTATCTTGACAGGAGAAGAGGACATCATGGAGTAGTAAAAAAATACACAAAGCATTGTTCAGGAAAAAATTAGATTGGCAATGGTATGTAGGGTAGATTGGAGTGGAGGCAAGATAGTGGAGTGGCGGGATAGGTTAACTTCTCTTTGGAGAAATTCTTGAGGGGCAGCTAGGTGGCACAGTGGAGAGAGCACCAGCCCTGAAGTCAGGAAGACCTGAGTTCAAATCTGACCTCAGACCAAACACTTGACACTTACTAGTTGTGTGACCCTGGGCAAGTCACTTTACCTCAACTGCCTAATTAAAAAAAAAAAAGAATCAAAAGGTACTGAATATAGCAAGAACTAAATAACATCACAAAAATAAAACAGGGCAGCTAGGTGGCACAGTGGATAGAGCTCTGGCCTTGGAGTCAGGAGGACCTGAGTTCAAATCTGGCCTCAGACACTTGACACTTAGCAGCTGTGTGGCCCTGGGCAAGTCACTTAACCCCGATTGCCTCACCAAAAAGAAAAAAAAACTCTTGGTAAAGTGTGGTTATCTTGCTGACTTGACACTTGTGAGCTTGAGTAGTTTAATTCAGTGGTCCTAAAACAGGTCTGAATGGGATATTAAAAGGTCATACTTCCAGTATCTATCTAAAGAGTTTTCAGAATTCTCTCAGGAAAGAGTCATGAATGAATTGTTATGACTTATGACTTACTGCCATTCCAGTAGTGTTGGAATGACTGAACGAATCATTTATTGCCTGCCCTGTGAGTGACACTTAATTGGAAGTTGGGCATGGCAGTCTCTTTCTCCAACCTTCCCCAGATGATGGCTATGAGGGCTAGACTGGAAACAGGACTGGAGATCTGGGGCAGGGGGGTGGGGGGGGTGCTGTCATTCCTAGGGCTCTTGTACTTGCCTTGCTGTTGGTGGCAGTTGATCAGCAGTTGTTGCTGTTGGTGATGAGGAACGCAGTCTTCTCCACAGTAATTTCTCCCGTCAGTAATGGAGATTACATGTTGACCCTAAGCCTTAGGAACCAGTTTTCTCACAGTGTTTCTTATTATGAGGCTAATTAATCAACCTTGTCAAGTCATTTTAAGAGTGGAGAATTGTCATGCCCAGCATGTTACTGTGTAAAGAAAAACAAAAGCGTTGCAAGTAAACTGGGAGACAATAAAGATACAGGTTTATCGTAGATTTTGAACTACAAAAACTTCAGCGGCTATATAGTCCTACCCACCCCCACCCCCATTGTACAGATTTTGTGACAAAAAGGATGAGTTGAAGATGACTCTTAAGGTTTAGATCTTGAATGATTGAAAATGGGTATCAAGGACAGGCCTGCAATACAATACAGCTTTTCATGCCTGATGTCCACATAATAATTTGGTACCAATTTCTTCCCTTTGAAAGGGATCAGCATGGCTTAAGTTTATTTCGTAAAGATTCTACTTATTCTCTTTGGGTTTTATAATATCTTTTTGTTCATGAGCTCTTACTGGTGACTTGCATGGCCTTTCTGGGTTTTCCTTCTTAATGCTAGCCCCTTGCTCCTTTCAGCTAAAAAGCATTTGGTTAATGGCAGAAGTTCTGATTTGAAGAACTGTCCAGTGATTTGTAAATTTGTTTCTTTTTTTTTTTTTTTCTTAGGAAGGGCCATTGAGACCTGTCCTTGAATATATCGATCTGGTTAGTAGTGATGATGAAGGACCTAGTACTTCTCATATTAATGTAAGTACATTGCAGTTTATTTATGACATTTTCCAGTTCTTCAGTTAAAATGGCGTTTTCCAAGGATATGGGCAGATCCAGTCATTAAACTAGTTAATACTTTTTCTGCTTTGAGGGATTTGATGATAGAAACCTTCAGAGATTTGCCTATGTAGCTCACTCAGGTGGGCTGTGAGAAAGGAGCACACCCAGAATCTTATCTAGAGACTAAACTTCTACTTCTAGTTTTCCTCTGTCACCCTTCCAGTAAGAATATGAGAAGACTTCAGAATGATTAAGGTAAGTCCTATCTGAAGGTCTTAAAGTTGGTGTGAATAAAGGGAAAGTGGAAGACTTCAAATCTTTTGATTCCAATTCATCTTTTTCCTCGTTTTCATCAGACACATTGTAAGACTGAGGTGTCCAGTCCTAGAGCATCAGAAATTATTTTTTTGGGGGGACACATTCCACACCTGTTTCTTCTTGGTAAAGAGAGGAAGGACATAAGTCCTTTAGGAAACTGGGTTCCATGAATTGTTATTCATTCCCTAATAACTCGACTAGCCAAAAACCCCATAAATTTCCCCTCCCAGATGTATTAGTCAGTTATGACTTTCTAATTATGTCACTCAGCTCCCACTATGAGGAAACAGACTAACAAGATCTAAGTGTTAACTTTGCCAGGTAGATTTCCAATCTTAGTTCTGTTCTTTAAACCAACTGCTCCCTTTTTTTGTGGATTGAGGAGAGAACTATTGTGTGACCTGAACAAGTCATTTCACCTCTCTGAGCCTCAGTTTCCTCATACATAAATTGGAATGAATTTTCACTGCTTGTACTACCTACCTCATGGCATCACTGGAGAGAATGCACCAACTAAATGTGAATTGTTAGTGTCCTACAATAGTAGACAGAAAGTTCTCTGCTCTCATTCTTCCATAGGATTGAACAGCTAGCCACACCCTCCCCACTTTTTTTTTTTAAGGAGAGAAAGAAAGGAAAGCAAAAGTGGCCCTAAATAATGATGAAATATTTTATTTCAAGTAGGCCCTTCCCCAGGTAGTCTTTTCTGTTGCCATTTCCCCCATTCTAAGCAAAAGAGCTGTTGTTGTTTTTATGCATGCCAGTGGCTTTTCTGCCTCACCTGTTCCCAGCGTGGAACCAACCTAGTGGTGGGCCAAGAAATTGCCCATTTTGATCTGTACTTGGCAAACAAAAAAAATGTGATGTGTAGTATAGGCACAAACAAATGCAACCTAGCAGTATCTCTTTGTTCCTCCATCCCTCCTCTTTAAGAGATAGGGCCCCTGGTTCACAGTTAATAGTGAAGACCAGGTGTGGGGGATTGAATCATATGAACTGGGCCTCCATAATCTCTTTACTAAGGGAATTTCATCTTTTAGTATTAATAATTCTTTTTCGAGTTAAGGTATCTGTTCACTCACTGGACATGCATCTCTCTATCTGAAATTTAATGTAATAGTAAAAACATTTTTTCCCTCTTTGATTTTCCTGGTCAAGTGACTCTGCTAAAGAATGATTGAATGTAGAGTGCCATCCTCTTTGAGTGAGCACTCAGGAATTTTCTCCAGCTGTGGTAGTTCTCACCCCTATTAAACATAGATACTTCTATCACAGGAACTGTTGTAGGAAACTACATTAGTCATCCCTTCTGTCTTTGAGGGCCTCAAGTGCTAGAAAGTCAATCAGTAAAGGAATTCAGAAATGGACTTAGCCGCAGCTAAGGCATATATAATCCATCATTAGGTTATGAGGGTCCTGTCTTTCTCTCTGCACCTTACTTCACAAGAACCTTTAGATCCACTAGAAATCAAGGTGGAGTGGAGCGGGTGGAGTGGAGATTACTCTTTAGAACCTTACAAAAAGAACAAAATTCATCTGTCATATTTGGACATAAATGGCTAAATTGTCCTGGATCGTGAACTCAAACTCAGAAACAATTGAAATTTTCTATCTTTAGACATTGAGAGATCCCTTTGGTTTGCTGGAATATCACTTATCATGGAGGAAAAAAATGAAGTGAAATGAAAATTCAGACTTATTACAAATTCCTTTATTATGGTGATGAGGGCTAATTATTTTCCCTGCAAACCCATTGAATAAAGAGAGTAGATCCAAGAATCTAAAAATGGGAGCTGTGTGACCTGAAGTCAGATTATAGGAATTCACAATTTACTGTCAGCAGGTGTTTGGATACCCTATCCTATCTATTCTAAGAAACTTCATCAATCAGATCTTTAAGGATACTTCTGATGGCATTATGAAACATAGTATACCCTGTGGCCAAGAACACTTCACTTTTCCAACCTGACCTTTCAGCAATAATATATAATAAGTTACAATAAAGGAACATGATCTTCAAGCTAGATTCTACCTCAAAAGAAATGGATGGTATGGGCTACATGTTCTAATGAAGCTGCTTTCATTGTGACATCCTCTATTAACTATATGACCTGTGTGACTTCGTGCTCTAGGAAGACATAGTACTGGACCCAGAGCTTTACTGAGACAAAAAAAGAAAGAAATCATTGCTGGTAGAATAAATGGAGGATGACTCTTGGTAACTTTGTACTAATGGAGGATGACTTTTGGTAACTTTGTACTATCAGAGATTTTTTGACCTGTTGGAAGCTATAGATGACAAATTTGGCTCTAACCTGTATTTCTCTGCAAGGGAATATAAAAGATCTTACATGTAGCTTTTTGATGATATAATAAATACCATCATTATAAATATAGATGATGGTATTGTATTGTCAAAGAAGATTATGGTAAATTCTGTAGATTTGTTTCTAGCAGCCTTCAATTCCATTGTAACTGTGATCATAAAGCACATCACCAGAGATTCATATTAATGTCAAAATTGTCTAATACAGAGTTCCAGAAGTACTATGGGCACAAGAACCCTAAGTTCAGGAACATCCTCAGTGAAGATTCTAAACCCTTATCCTATTTCTCCATCCCAATTTTATGTAGGATTATTAAGTAGGAATTTGCTTGTAGAACGTGGCACTTTTTGGAGCAATGACACAGCTGATGGTTGAATTCTAAGTATAATATGGCTTAAGTATTAAATAGTTTGCTGTTGCTTAAATTTGGAATGAAATGCAGTGCTTAGAAGATTCATGCTTTATTTTCTAAGTGGTTGTTTTCTTTTTTGGATAGAGGAGCTGGGATGAGGATTCTTTGATATTCTACTGTTAATTCTGTTAATTTCTAATCCCAAGGAAGTTCAGAGAGGGCTTAATTCATAATGGTCTTTAGAAAATAGAATTTTAGCATGACAAAAGAAAGGTTTAAAACATTCTCTGTAGGAAATTTTTACATTTACAAGCCTAGAAGATTACCTATGTGTTTTACATCTGGAAACATCTGTCACTCCATCTAGACCACAGAAAATTTCAATCATTTCCAAATCACTGGTAGTTGAGCTCTGCTTCCTAGGACTTCATGAAATATATCCTTGGGATCATAAGAAAGTCCATGTTATGATCAGATTACCAAGGGCTCATCTCACTCTCCAGTCCATGAAACTATTTTTGGAACTAGACTCAATTTGAATCTTGCCAAACTGACCAGATTGCAATGATTGGATTTCAAGGGCTGAGCTTGACACTATCTTTATATGCATCATGAAATTAGAATAGTTTTTACAGTCCTAGTTGATTGTGTGTCATAGTGTGTTAATGGTAGCCAGTATCACTGAGGTAACTGTATATGAATGAATGTCATTAATGTGTTGTGTTGTATCTCTCTCTCTCACTTATGAATAACATGAACTTTGCAAAGCTCTGCAGTGGCAATCTCTCATCATTGGGTGCAAACTTCTCATAGGATGGCTCTTTTAAAAGAAACTCACTCCAGAAATCGCTATTTCCATTAGGTCGGGTAACTTATTTAAAGTCTTTACAAAACACATGGTGGTCACAGGCACATGTTTGGGAACTCTGGAAATAAGGGATATTGTTCACAGCATTCAGGTATGCAGATCAGAAATATTAGGAATGTATATTCTAAACAAGACTGAACCTGATATCTCTTTTAATAAATGGCATCTTAATTTGAATTTTATCATAGGGCGATACTTAAGGCCCAAAAAAGGTCTGTGGGTCCTGGAATGTGAATATTGATATTTTACTAGTAAAATCTTCTCACAGTTGTGATAAAACTGCTCCAGATTAACCTCTTTGTAATGTTCCAGGTCAGCCTCTTTGCAAATAAGAATAACCACAAACTGCCACAGTTCTGCTAGCTATATAATTCTCCTTGTCAGTGATTCAGTTAAATAGAGTCAGGAATCTGGGTATGCCTTTGCATGAATTCTGTTAATATGGAAGATACTAACCAAACTGACAATTACTCTTAAGTGCCTTCTTACTGGCTTCACTAAAGCTAATCATTCAGACTTTGCACAGACTTTGCATCTCTTATCCTAGGCACTGAGCAGATCCTGTGTCCCATTCCCTGGGATTCTAGTTTTCACAGTCCCTCCTGAGTGAAAAATTGTCCAAGTAGAATGAGTTTTCATTTTTTTTCTAGGAATCAGAATACCCTCAAGATACATTTGTAATCTCTTTAAAAAAAGATAAGTTTGTAATTTCTAAGGATAAATGTCTAAATAAATCCTGATTTATCCAAATGTTCTTGTATACCTCTAGTATTCTATTAGCAATTTATCTGTCTTGGTCTTTATGGCTTCCATTTTTGTCTGCCATTATCCCAAGGACCTTGGAGATATTGTCTCTTGTTCTTTATTATTTTACTTCATAGGCTTAGTATTTAAGTCACAATTTCAATGAAACATGGAAAGATTTAAATGAGGAGATGCAGAATAAAGTGAATAGAACAAGGAGAACAATTTATATAACACTGTAAAAGTGGACAACTTTGAAAGATTTGTGATCTCTGAATAATGTAATGATACCAACCATGATTCCCAAAGACCGATGATGAAACAAGCTACCTGCCTCCTGATAGAGAAGTGCTCCATGTACAGAATG